ATAATGTAATATAATACATTATTTTATATATATTAAATATTTATATATGTATTTTTATATAGTCTTAAAGTTACAACCGGCCCTTTGAGTGCAACCATAATGCTAATGTGGCCCGCGATGAAATTGAGTTTGACACCCCTGCTCTAAATGGATGGATGGACATCTTGTGGATATTTACAGTAAAAAGATGACAGCATTTGTCAATCATAAATTGGAACAATTCACATCACATTATGTAAAGCCCTATAGGCCTGCTTTTGTTTTCACAGATCCATAACTCTGCTGTAAAGAAATGTCTACTCTACTGTTCAGCATTCATGGTGCAGCGACTGACCTGAGACCAGGCTTTGGCTGATCTGGCGAGAGTTCATCTCATTGTTGAACTTGTGTTGAGCTGAACAGAGGTTACAAAGATACGTGGCTATCTTCGATCTCTCCGTGATGAAGTTGTACTTCTTCTTGCTGCCCCGGCTCTCCACCGTGAACTTACGCCTCTGCAGGAACATGAAGGAAAGGAGTTACTTGAAAAGTGAGATCATTCTCTTGATAACAAGGGAAATTCCAGCCCAATATCGTTATAATAGAAGCTATAGCTGTCGTAGAGACCCTAAATGAAAATGTTGTGTTATTCTCCCAAAAGTACATCTATTTTTTTTACTTCAAATCCCTTCTGGGGCTCTGTAAAATATTGCATGGTATGATGAGATAAATCACACTCACATTAGAGGAGATGGTTGCTGTCTCCCTCCAGTAGAACATCTGACTGGTGGATCGGCAGCCATCTTTAACCTCGTAGACGATGACTCCTTTGACACAAACCCCAAGGATGATCTCTCCTTCTAAGGGCTTCTTCTCTCGCATCACGCGGTGGAAGAACACGCCGTATTCAGGCAACTGCTGACACAACTAAAGCAACAAACAGAGGTGTGTAACTGTACTTGATGTAAGCTATAAGAGGGATTTGCAGTCCCTAAAGCCTACATATTTGTTATTTTACCTTGAGGAAATCAAGCTCTGATTCATCAGGGAGCATCTGAGCGTTGTTGGTGTGAAGCCGGAGCAGTTCTCCCTGAATGTAAGGCAAGGCACGTTTCTCCATCACGCTCTTGGAGACATACTGGTCAGGGCGGTAGTAGTTTCTACCGTACACCTAAACACAACAAATCAAAGCCTTTTAGAGAAACATATACCAGAAATATAACTAAGGTCATTGCTTTGTAATTCCTTTGCATCCATTTCCGATCCACAAAGCTAATAGTGAATGTCCTCCTCCAACATGAGAGTAACTTGATATCAAAGGTATCCCAACTGCTCTGTGAACATGACAGGATGTGTGATTACCTAGAAGAGCATCAGGACTGTTTGAGGCATATGATAGCTATGTGATTAACATGATGATTCAGCCTCTATGGAGAGAGACATATGACAAGCATGATCATTTCTGACGTGGAGCTAATCTGAAGTAAACATTGAATACTGCTTTCTATTCCTCCATCTTGTGACTGTGGAACTCCCTCTCTTGGATATCAGCATGTGAAGGACACTGTTCAGGAACTAGTTGATGCTCTGTATGTGATGACTACTTCCATTCTGGAGAGGATCACAGATACATGGATCCTGAGATTCAAGCTCAAGCCGGGGACCAGGGATATTATTCTAACAGGAACCAACCATTGACCCTCCGATGGTACATGCCCACAGCCACCCCTCTTTTATGTAGCACAGTGAGAGAAATGATGGAGGTGACGGCAGGAGTCTCTCTGGTGCTGAGCTACTAATCTGACATGCTGCTCTAACATCAAAGGCTTCCTCCCTGGACTCCTTAACTGTCAGACAACCACTGAACCCCCCCCCACCCCAAGCACCTGCAACCCTCATTACTGATAGGCCTCCGTTTAGGCCTCTCGTTCAGGCTCAGGGGGCCCGATTAGGAGATTAGGGTTCCTTTTACATGAATGATGAGGCCTCATGTTTTATTAATCAGGAAGCTTATACATAAGCTAGTTGTCTCATTCCATATTCAGAGCTGTGATTGAAGAAAGAGAGCTGCATAACTGGCAAAACTGGCATCTCACTCCTACATGCATGTTCAGAAAGCTTGCCAAAGCCACATGAGTCATTTAACGACTGCAGTTAGATATGAGATGGGAGGTAAGGTGGTGCACTGATGATGTATGTTTCTAAGCTGACCCAGAAGTTAGCATCGCAAGGGTTCCCTCAGAAACAAAGCATTATATGAATACATGTTAGCTTCTCATCCAGGCTAACATCCACCGCAAAAATCAGGCAGGTTTGATATATTTCCTTTGCATCCAGCACAGGAAAGAAGTGTCCTTTTTTGTTACCAGAACAGGTCCAACAATGCTGCTTAGTGGGATCAAGAGCAGTTCAAAGTGAAACAGCCACAAGAGGGCTCTACTCGGCAGATAAATAGATGTAGCTTAAATGAGGTAAGCTGCCTCTGTCACAAAGTACCCAGCACTGCAGTCACCTCTTATATACTGTAGGATACAGGGACAAATGTTCTGTCCAAGGTTGTGCTGCAGTATAGAGAACGGACAACCTCTAAGGATTACTCAGCACTTTTCTGCAAGGTTTAACACGAGTTGGAATGTCCTGAAGGGAGATGCACTGGAAATAAATAGTCTATCAACTCTCAAACTCTATGAGAGAAAGCTTTGTGATATTTTGAAACTTATTACATGTCATGTCATGTCATGTCACTTACATACTCAATACTGTGGACAATCCCCACAGGAGCAATTTGGGGTGAAGTGTCTCAGGGACACAACGACATTCTGACTGCAGTAGGGTTTGAACCCTGATCCGAACACCAACACACAACCCACTGCGCCACACGCCTATTAGAGGAGATTAAAATGTGTAAAAAAAAAACGTTGCTTAATTCATGGTATTTTTAGAGCTGATTCAACTCCGAACGGTTGTTTTGGATCTCATGTCATCCCATTTCAAAAGCACAAGGATTTAGCCTAAACAGCACGGTGATGATTCATGTCGAAGTGACTCATCTACAGACGATGATGTGATTTTGCTGAGTCGTTAATAGCTTGTTACATCAGTGAGTTTTACCCTTGAGTCTTTGCTGCAACGGTGTTTTTTTTTTATTAGCGGGCCAAGACTCACTCGTACAGTGGCTCAATCTAAAGCACCTCTTTTTATTAATTTTTTGCCAACTCATCTCTCATGCCACGATGCCGAGACGTCCCTGAGTCGCACTGACTACAGCAGAGCAGAGGCAAAACATGACATCACCCTCCACCAATGAAACGAAAGGACAATAGCTCCACTATAGGGGATTCAATTAGTCCTTGAGGTGGGACATAAAACCTCCCTTGTTGATTACATATATTATAAGACAGTTCTTTTTTAACAGTAAAGTTAGCATGAAATACTATGTTTGTATAAAGTCAGATAGACTTCTGAGTCACTTGAGTCAGCCCTGGTTGGGGCTCAATACTACAATAGTAAAAAGAGAAATATGTGATTTATGCTTCATTATGTTCACCAGATTGTCTCTAACTTTGTCTTGTACTTTTACTCAAGTACAAGATCTGAGTACTTCTACTTTTACTGAAGTACAAGATCTGAGTACTTCTACTTTTACTGAAGTACAAGATCTGAGTACTTCTACTTTTACTCAAGAACAAGACCTGAGTACTTCTACTTTTACTCAGGTACACGATCAGAGTACTTCTCCCTCCTCTGGTCATATGCTCAACACTTACAGGGAAGCCATTAAAATATTAGATCTCTGAATCCCTCCAATAATCAAATAATGCTCATTATCTATGTATTAAATTCACATTACACCTATGATCTGTTGTTGATATAATGATGATGTGTATAACTGCTTTAATGGACGGGTGAAATGTGTCTCAGTTTTAAACCTCAGGTCTTAAATGTCCTTAACATTTATTTTCTCAATCAGCTATACAGTTTTTCTTCGATATTTGACATTAGATATGTGTGATTTGTCCTGCATTAATCAAGGACAACTTGTCTGAAATAATTAGCATTGATTTCCTCATTTAGTCTCAAGGCGGGTCTGCCCTTTCAGAGAACAGATTAATATTGAAAAATGTGTCTCCACGTGCAGACATGATGGCTTACTGTACAACCCCTCCCCCTCTCTCACACACACACACACACACACACACACACACACACACACACACACACATGTGTGTGTGTGTGTGTGTGTGTGTGTGAGAGAGGGGGAGGGGTTGTACAGTAAGCCATCATGTCTGCACGTGGAGACACNGTAAGTGT